TGAAATTTTCACGATAATTTGTGCATGAAAAACGGGATACCTCCTAAATAATACCGTCAAATTAAATGAAATTTATAACCTATACGTTATGAGCCCTTTAGAGTGCAAAAAACCGTAGGTTTTAAGATAGTCACATTTAATCGCATTTTATAACCATTTTTAGATTATAACATACAGTAATTTCGACGAAAAACCATTAAAACTAAATTTAAATGCTTATAAAATATTTATTTCTTAAAATATTTTTTACCCTTGAGGTTTGTGAAATTTTAGAATCAAGAAATATATCAATGAAATTAAAATTGCATTATGTTCAATGCTTTTTTATTTATCGCGTTTTTCTTAACTGAAAATTTTCCTATAATATTTCATAAAAAAAATTTTTTTTTTTCAAAACCAAAGGGTGATATATGCTATTCAGCTCAACTATTGACTCTTTTTAAGCCTATTTATAGTCCATGTTACAAACAGAAAAATTTCTAGAAAATAGAAATTTTGAAAAATTGGACTCCCAACCTAGTCGGATTGAGCAAAGCATATGTTATGCGTTCAGATCATATGGGTCTTTTCTAGGCATTTTATCAAACGAACGAGACATGAAAAAGTTATCTAAATGTATTTTATCACTTTTATCGAGTAAAAACGTTCAGGTTTATTAAGGACCCAATACGGAAATTTTTCTAGAAAAAGATTTAAATGCTTAAATTCAAAACTAAGCAGAATTATTTTTGGCTTATATGTTCAAGAGTATCCAACCTACGTTTGGAACCGTGATTTTGCAAAAGCATTAAATGGATAATATTTATGATATTTAGTGTCACTCTAGATTAGAAAATGTATATAAAATTACTTTTAAGAATAGTATTACAATAAAAATTATTTAAGTACAATATTTTGACAAAAGGAACATAGAATAACCATTTTCAAAATATTCTCCTTTTGTGAAAATTGCTTCATTATACAATATTTTGCCATGTATATAGCCAGACCTCTACAGAGGCTCAACTAGAATTTTGAAATATATAACTTAGAAGTGGGTATATTCATGTTTAAAGACAACAGAGAGGAGAAATTTTAAGAAAAATGCCGATAATTATTTTAAATGGTTGTAACTCTGAAAATAATGTGAATTTTTCAAAAATCATAGTTGAGCCTCTGTACAGAGGTCTGAGCTATATACAGGCAAAATATTATTATAATAGAAGCATTTTTCACAAAGGAGAACATTTTGAAAAAAGGTTATTCTAAGCTAATTTTTTGCCGAAATATTGTATTTAAATAATTTTTGTCAAAATGTCCTTAAAATAACTTTATACATGTATTCTAATCTAAGTGACACTAAATATCATGAAAACTATTCATTTATGCGTCTTTTTAAAATCACGGTTCCGAACGTAGTCGGATACCTTAAGTGATACATTCATATGTGACAAAGGAACGTTTATCTTTGCCATGCATACTCCGTAGTAATATACATACAGAAATTATTACTTTACTCCAACAAAAATTCCCTATATTTATTTTGTTTGCATCTTCAATAATTCAATTTTTTATATTATTCTTTTAATGTATTTGTTTTTATTAAGAATGTGATTGTTTTTATCAGGTTAAAAAGGTAGTAAAAACAATTAATGAATTACAATGCGAGATTAAAATTTTACTTTTCAAAGTATTTTACAATTATTTGTTGTTTCTCACTGTAATTTAATATGTTTTACAAAAAATGCTTTCAGGAAATTTTTTTTTCTTAGTAGTTTTTAATACAATAAATTTTGTATTAATATTCAATTCCTAAAATCATGTTTCTTGCTGTCATAGATGCATTAAGAATTTGTATTTGGAACCTCTCTTTCTTTCTCTTCCATTTATTAATTTTTTTTATTAATAAAAGTAGAGAACATGGTTTTGCTTTATAAAAATAGAAAATATGTGTAAAATTTAGGCAATGGATAAACATATTGAGTTTAAATCGAGTTTAATAAAAAATCCTTGTAGTTTTGAAAAAAACTCACTTTATATCGTGTATTAATTTATTTTAATGCAATTGAAACTCACCTATTAACATATATATAGTATTACTTTCAATCTCACGTCCATCAACAACGATTTGTCCAAAACAATAAAAAAAAGTGTGTGTGTGTACTTATGTACGCACGTAAGAATTATACTTCTTTGGCGTAACAAAATTAAAATCTTTCTAAAAATCTTGAGCAGGTTAAGCTGGGCCAAGGGTGAAAAACGGTCACGAGCAGAGTTGAACGATACTAAACTTAAGTAAATCGGACCAGCCAAACCCGAGATAATCGCGATTTAAATAAATTTAAACACCCCCGCACAGGGACAATAGAACCAATAACATGGGGAGTTTTCGACAGACTGTATCTGGAGATGAGGTGAACCGAATGTGACACCTGAGACCTCATATTGAATGTCTCGGAGGGAAGAATCATTCCTGAGAAAAAATTGACATCCACATGAAGAGCCCCCGAGTTATGGTCATTGTAAAATAATTAAAACAATTAAATAAAATAGAAGCAGGGCACCCAGCAACTCGAAACTCAGCCTGGTTGTGAGGAAACACAACAGGAATCCATTAGAATAGGCCAGGAGTCTGTAGTTGCAAATGGGGCGGCACTTGCTCGGGAAAGGGAAACGAAACTAACTCCCCCGGAGGGGGGAAACTGTGAATGGTCTCAAACATCGCAACAATACACAGAGTATTAGGTGATCCCAAAGTTTCATCCTTCTACTTCTGTAATATCGTGACGTCATCAAAAGATCGAACCCCATAGAAATAACATGGGGATTCTCTAATTTTAGTGATAACGCCCCACCTAGGCTAACTATCTACACACTAATTGTAACACATGAAAGAGCTCAACGAGGAGAACCAATGGTCCGAGTTTCATTAACGAAGCTCAAAAATCCTTGGAGCTATGCGGAATTTTAAAAAAAATATAAAGCATTAAAATAATTTTAAAATGTTAAATATGGATGAAGAAATGGGGCTATAGTCCCGAAAAATATATCTAGGATGCTCATAGGGAGAACAATTGAATCCAGCCGGTGCGGTCGACCAAGGTGGCATACGATTCGAGTTATTACTGGGGAAGACCTGTAGGGGATAGCACCGGAGGGGATCAATTCCACGTAAAGCTCGCGCTAATACGAAAATATGGCAGAGCTCCAAAAATCAAGTCACAAGCTCAATTCCTTAGTGGGGTGAAATTTTTCCAGTCCCCATAGGATTAACATGGGAGCATAATATTTTAGTGCTTAAGCCCTCCCCATGCCTACACAATGGGAATGAAGTAGATGACTGGATGGGTCCCGAAGAGTGGAACAGTTGGTTCAAATTTTAAATCCGAGACTCAAACAGGAGCCAAGATATTGTGAATTTAAAGAAATTTAAAAAGTTTAAAACAATATTAAAAAATGTGGAAGAAATAGTCCTATGAGCATGAAATTTCAATAAGTGGAAGAAAAGATAGAGAGGGATCGAATAAGCTAGGTTTGAATGGACTGTAAGGCTCAGGTGCCAAGATATTGGCCAAAAAGCTGTAGAGGAGGGGGGATGCGTCCTAACAGATATGGTTTATAACAATAGTTATTACGATCCTCCAAATATCTGTCCCCTGGCACCCAAAAAGTGGTATGTTAAAATATTAGACAACGGTTTGTGCGTGCAATGGTGCCGTGACGGTGTGCGTCACATCCGTGATGGTTTTGCATCACATCCGTGACGGTTTTGCGTCACATGCGTGACGGCATGCACGCGCATCATAAAAATTTACCCTCATCCTTTTTCCCAAACGCGCAATAAGAAGTATAACTTCAAAAATTATAACTTTAAAATAATTTTAAAATGTCAAATATGGGTAAAGGGGCTATGGTCCTGAAAAAATATATCTAGGATGCTCATAGGAAGAACAATCGAATCCAGCTGGTGCAGTCGACCAAGGTGACATAGGATTCGAGTTATTTCTGTGGAAGCCCTGTAGGGGGGGGCCAATTCCACGTAAAGCTCGCGCTAATACTAATATATGGCGGACCTCCAAAAATCAAGTCCCAAGCTCAATTCCTTAGGGGGGTGAAATTTTTTCCAGTCCCAATAGGATTAACGTGGGAGCATGATATTTTAGTGCTTAAGCCCTCTCCATGCCTACACAATGGGAATGAAGCAGATGACTGGATGTGTCTTGACGAGTGGAACAGTTGGTTCAAATCTTATGTTCGAGACTCGAACAGGAGCCAAGATATTGTAAATTTAAAGAAATTTAAAAAGTTTAAAACAATATTAAAAAATGTGGAAAAAATAGTCCTATGAACATGAAATTTCAATAACTGGAAGTGCAGATAGAGAGGGATCGAATGAGCCAGGTTCTAATGGACTGTGAGGCTCGGGTGCCGAGATATTGGCCAAAAGGCTTTAGAGGGGGGATGCGTCTTAACATATATGGTTTATAACAATAGTTATTATGATCCCCCAAATATCTGTCCCATAGCACCAAAAAAGTGGCTTGTTAAAATATTAGACAACGGTGTGCCTGTGCGCATCGGTGTCGTGATGATATGCGCGCGCATCCGTGACGGTGTGCGCACGAATCGTAAAAATTTATCCTCATCATTTTTCCTAACGCCCAAAAAGAAGAATAACTTTCAAAATAAATATACGAATACAAAAGGCTCTTATAATTTGCTACAATTTAATAAATGTGTTTAGGTTCATCGGAATGCGTTCGTAGTAAATACATCTAAAATCATATACCATTGTTATTTAAATAGGTAAACTAATATTTACTCTTATGTTTTATGTACATGAAACACAATTTAAAGATTAATTTACTAATTTTTTTTTTAATTTCCTGTAAGTATGTTTGGTTTAATAACAAAAAAGGTTCACAAACAAATGCATCAGAGAAGCTCCGTAGGCGAAGGACGATCTCTCCCTACTAGTACTGACGTCACAAATAAGTGCAAAGAAAAGGTTCGCAGACACGGGGGGTACAGCTCAGTGGTACAGCATTCGACTGCCAATTGAGAGGTACCCGATTCAAACCAAGGTGCCCCTTCTTCAGGGAAGTGAGGAGAAATATTTTTTTTGAGAATTTCGAAGGCGGGAACGATCTCTCCCGTTCTGTATATTTCTAGACAAAGCATTTTCGTATCCTTTCCCCAAGGAACGCAAAAGCAAGGTTAGCTGACGCGGGGTATAGCTCAGTGGTAAAGTATTTCGACGCAATTTTGAAGGTCCTCGGTTTAAGCCCGGTTTCCCCTTCTTCACGGAAGTGAAAAATATTTCCTGAGAATTTTGAAGGTGGCAAGATTGTCCGTTCTATATATTCTAGACAAACGATTTCGCATCCGGCGTGTGCGCGTGCATCGTAAAAATTCACCCTCATCCTATTTCTCTAACGCCCCAAAAGAAGTATAACTTCAAAAATTGAGTAAATTTATTTATATAATATTTTCCATTACTGCTAGGGAACATAAGAGTTATATCTGTGTACTATTCTACAATAAGTTTTTACCTTTGTTTATAAATGTAATTATTTGAAAATACAAGAAATAATTTTTTATTCATATATTATTGAGTTATAAGAAATCATGCTAGAGAGAGAGAAAGAGAGAAACCAGTATCTAAAATATTTACATTAAAAATATTTTTTGAAATTTTTTTTTCTCAATAAAACTATTTTTATATTATTATATCTGCTATTTCAGAAACAATCACGTTGTATTAATGAGAATAAGTTCAACTTTTTAAATTGATAAAATCTGTTAATCTATAGTTTTAGCTGCTGAACCCAAAAGTATGATCTTAGAAACTTCAGTTATTACAGACTAAAAATATAAAAACAAAGTCTTAAGGCTAAAGCTCCCTAAAAATTTCATTTTTACGGAATTTTTTGCATATTCTAGTGGCCTATATCTTTGCAAAGCTTGCCACGAAATTTCAGATCTGTTATAGCAAATTAGTTTTTAAGATATTTGAAGTTTTATGAGCTATCGTTTTGGTTTCGGTTTTATTTTAAAGCATTTTCCACTCTTAAATTGAATTAATTAAAAATACTTTTGAGCTTTTAGTTTGAAATGTTATTAATTCCAATTTTCATTACTAAAATCATTTCTGCTTGATTACGTTTTGAGTTTTTTGAGTTCTCACAATTAATTAATTAAGATTAATTTCATGGCCAATTTTTTCTTTAAAAATAGTTTATATAACTTAAAAGCTTTATCATTAATTTTTTCCTGTAGAGAAAATGCCACGGCAAATGCGTTCTCAGGTTACTGTGAGAAACAATATTTTGAAGAGATGGAATACTACTGAAAATGATGTATCTAAAAATCAATCCTCTGATGATTCTGCAGTTAGGACTTCCGAATACAAGTATTCTGAATTCAAATGTTGCAGATATAACTGAATATTTCCTTGATGTGCCAAACTACATTGCACTAAACATATTGTAGTACTATATTTTAGTATTTTAAGTCGTCCAACCGGTGTAGTGGTTAGCGATACTGACTGCGGTGCCGTAGGGACTGGGTTCGAATCCCGGAGAAGACATGGATGTTTGTAAATATATAGTGCCTTTGAGGCATGGGGGTACCTCTAAATAGCCGTCGAGCCGCAAGTCCCCCTTGTGTGGTTGGTGGAAGGGAAGAGGTGGGAGGCCCTAACCACCCCAGGGTTTTCTCCCTCTAAATTGGGGTGGAACCGAGCCAAATCGTACTGTCACTTGCATGGTGCTCAAAGCTAAGGCTAACGACAGGAGTAAAAATTCTAGCCCTTAGCCGCGATGAATTCCGCGGGCCTAGATCTGACTTCGTCAGACAGGTGGCATTAGTCACAACAAAACACACACGGTATTTTAAAGTCGTATGACAAGAGCTAAAACGTACTAAACTGCCCCAATTTAAAACTAAAAAAATTAACTTTATGAGCAAATCTGACTATTTTTAGCTTAAGTTAGTATTATTTTTATTTTGTACATAAATGCTATGTGTTTCAAAACTTTTGTGAAAATATTAGGTTAAGATAAAGGTGAATAAATTGACGTCTTAACAAATGTTATCAATATTATGCAAAAATATATTTTGAATTAAAAATATTATTTTTAGTCATATTTAATTAAAATAGTGTTTTAATGCAGAACATACATTGGAAAATAACATGCTAAAAATTAGAGCTTTACGGGTATTACAAGTTTTTGTTTTATGACTTTACAAACTTTAAATGCGTTTTTCTCAGACTTTCAATTTTGAAGATATAAGTGTTTTCTAATCCCTAAGGCTTTTTTCCTGTTCAAGATAGAGCCTTGAATTTTTTTGTATATACTCCCAAACGTATGTTTTATAAAAGTTAGTATGGATGTAGGGCTGAGATCTCTAGATATTTTCTAAAAAATGCTAAAGTTGATATTTTAAAAATTTTCGTGTTTTTTCCAGCTTTTTCTAGAAAAATAATTATTAAAATTCAACAAAGGGAATGGATTTTCAAATCCATACTAATTTTGTTTGCAATGACTTAAAAAACATAAATAACTTAGAATGACTAAAATATTTTAAAAATTGAGTATTTTATAAAAATTTGAAAAAACTTCAAAAATTCCTAATTTTTTAAAATTGTAAAATAATGGCTGGTTAAACTGACTTTTTACTTACAGAATCAGCATAATTATATAATCTAAATATAAAACACTATTTATTTTTATTGTACATGTCTCCAAAAAGAATTTTTGATAAAGGGTACCACTTAATGTATTAATTTTTACTCACTAAAATGCATATGTACTTTTCCCATTTATGTAGTAATATTGGATTTAGGTTGTTTGTATAGATTTAGAATTTAATATAAGCATTAATTTATGATCTTATAAATTTAAAACTAGGTATATAACTACATTCGTGTACTATGATTATTGCCAAATCGTTTATGTAATGCTTACTATCTTCTGAGTGAAATCCGTGTAATAATAGTCGGAAGTATAACCTCCAAAATTACTCTCTGATGATTCCGTAATTGAAAGAAATTTTCCTTAGCACTTTTCTGTAACCGATAGTAATTCTAAATGGTATAATGCATTTAGAACAGTATTTCTTCATTTATACATTAGTAATCTATAACATATTCGATAACTTGTATGGGAAAACTCTAGTATTCGCTACTACCCAGTTTATGTAGATTTCGAGTGAGTGAGTGAGTGGATATTAACGTCGCACTGTTCAGCTACACGAGGGCTTTTGGTGACGGACCACGTCATTTTGAACCATGGTCAAGTGACGTGGACGACACCTGAGCTGGCACCCCTCTTAACTACCACACCAACGGGAGGACGTTTGAGTTTTCGACAGATTTAACGTGCATCGCAGTCCTACACGGTGGGTCTTTCGTGGTACTGGGCTCGAACTCATGACATACCTGCCATGATCCGATACCTTGACCATTGGTAGATTGAATTTCATGTAGATTTTGAAAGAATCTAGAAAAACGGAACAAAAATATTTACAATAGTTTTAGGAAGTTGAAGCCCAGTGGCTGAGTAGTAGTGTATCGTGTTTCCACGCCATAGATCCGGGATTCAAATCCTGGGCTGCGCAAGATCAACTCAGCCTTTCGTCCCTTCAGCGGGCCTATATATGAGTACCAGGCTTGCTTGGGAATTGAACAATGTGGATTGCACTTCAGATTGACCACTTGACCTAAACATCTGCACATGCACTCCAGCGCCTAAGATCATATAAGATGAGATAGACACAATAGGCCTTGACCCTCATGGGCTGTTGCGCCACTGAATTTAATTAGGAAGTTGGATCATTTATTATATTTTGCAGCATCTTCAATGATTTGAATAAAAGGTAATAATGGAATGCTTCTTCATATGCGAGAAATAAAGAGTATTTTTTAATTCACTATGTTTACTACATTGTTATGTAAATATTTAGATACAATCACAATGCAGATTATTTTATAATATTTTTTTTACAATTTATTCGGTTATTTTATTAAATAATATTTGTAAAGTTTTTTCATAAAATTCAAGGCAACATTTTTACATTTGTTTTTACCTTGTTGTTTAAGGAATGATTTATGAGTAATTTCATTAAACAGGGCTCTGCTTATATCATACATTCGAAGTTATTCTCACATAAATTAAGTATAGAACTTTTTTTGTTATCTGTTAGAAAATTGTAATTTTGATAAAACTTATATATATTTCTGTAAGGTCTCCGGATCTAAATTTTGGCAAGTGGAACGATCCTGTATGTGCTGTCAAGAAATGGGAGAAAGGGAAGCCAGCATTGGAATCTTCTGCCCGAAAGCTTCTCCGAGGTTCAGGAAGATAGTGACTCGCGCCCCTGTGGAATGCATGTGCCGCCCTTGTACAGCTGTCGATGAGTCTGCTATACAGCCCCAAGAGCTGCAATTACTGGTGGCAGAACCGCAGAACGACTTCAGCAAGGGTATGCCTCAAATGGAAGATTTCCATATGATCAATGAACTGAAATCAGGAAAAGAGATACCTGTGGTGTAAAAACCTTAACAGAAAATGTATACAAAATCTTTAAATACACAAGAAAGCTTTAGTTATTTATTTATAAATTATTCTTATTATTTTGAAAAATGAGTTTTGATTATTTGCAGAGTAGTTTCTATGTGCACTAATGCACTGTGTTGAACGTATATGCTTATTTGATACTCCTTCAATTGTAGCGTTTTTTGAAAGCGTGACACAGCAACTTTTTAATATAGTGCTTATAATAATAAGTAACATATATTATGGGCATAACAATAAGGAGATAATAGGATTTAAAAGGAAATATTCAGTGACTCTTAAAATTCAGTCTGAGAAATTTACATGTACATGTTAAGCTCCATAGGCAATAAATGTGAATTAAGGATATACACGGCCTCGTATAAATTTTGGTAACAACGCATCACGTTGAATTGGATCGGGCCAGCAGTTGCTAGGTTTTCAGAAAACCGTTAACATGACAAAAATCCTTTAATAAGTAATTTAAACATCTAAAAATATTCCCATTATGTTAGAAGGTCTTTTTCCTTTTGTTT